TTTAACCCCTTCATGACTGAGCTTGTTTTTAGTTTCTGTGCGTAAATGACTGACACACTTTTGACATTTTTGCTGTGTGATTCTTCCACGTCAGTAATATACTTTCTTGCAAAGTGCACCCACACATATTATATATTGTTTTTTAGAGGACAGATAGGGCTACATATTTATATCACATATGTGTGTCTAACGCCTCACTTAGGACAAATAAAATATAAAAAAAGAGGAAAAAACCGTTTAAAAAAAACACTTTTTTCCCAGTTTTGATTTGTAGTATTTTTTTTTACAAAACCAGCACAGCTAAACAAAATTGCAATAAATACATTCATTTATTAGTCCCTTATTTTTTTTTACACATTTTTTTTTACACTTTTCACTTTTTTTAAACTTAAAAATGTTATTTTATTTATTTAATTATATCAAGCAGTCATTGTGAATTAATCTCACTGTTACTGCTTGATAAATTAATAATTTTTTGGTTATTATCAGGCTGCTTCAAACTTCAGAACAGCTGATAATAAGTTAGTGACACTGATCCTGCAGCAGTTCAGGATTCAGCTGTCACTAGTTTTCTGATTATTACAACAACGATCAGCAAACTGAAACATTCTCCTTTCACCAATAGATACATTATGTATCTATTGGTGAAAGAAAAAAAAAAAACCAGTATAGCTTGAGAGAGATCTCTCTCTCGATCTATAGGAGCTGCCGGCAGCTCTGCTTTGACTCTCAGACACCCGATATTAAGGTATCGGGTGTCTGAAAAAGGTTAACCCTTTCATTAATGAATGCCTCTGTAGTAACGGCATCCATTAATGAATGTTAAAAGCTGATTCTCAGCAGTTAACAGCCCTCTAAAGCAGCAAATAACTCGTCACGTACAGTGCACGTGACGAGTCATTTGGTCCCTTTGTGGCTGGACGTACAGTGTACGTCTCCCGTCACAAAGGGGTTAAATATTTAAGCTATTTCTTAAAGGGAAAGTAAATAAAAAAGTCAAAAAAATAAAAACATTTTTTTTAAAATTATGTATCATGCTTTTTAATAATTAAAAGTACAGGCTTTGTTATTATACTGTGTGATATAGTGTATAGACCACGGTATTATACTGTTTGAAACAGCCCAGACCTCGACTTAAAATTTTGGCCCACTGTGTATTTGGGTTTGACACCTCTGCTCTAGAGAGTGCTGGATATGGATAGTGGATATGGATAGTGATTGGATGTGGGGAAGAAAGCTGAGGTCTGACACCTAGCACCGTAGCATGGGGGAGAGTTGGATAGTTGTATTATCAATCTCAAGGGAAAAGTTGGAGGAAGGTGCATCGACGCGGGGAAATATCATGAGCTCAGTTTTTGAAACATTGAGTTTTAAGAAATGTTGTGACATCCAGACTGATATTGTTCTTCTGTTTTCTTTTTGGTATATAACTTATGTATAGTGACATGGTTGCTTTAACCAGAGGTAGTGTAGCAGAGGTGGGCGGATCACAAAACTGACTGAACAGAATTTCAAACATGCAAAACTGTATGGAGATACTGTTTGTGTTTCAATTCTGTATTTAGTTGTTTTTCCCTTTTTCAGTTTTGAGCTACTTTAAGATTGGCCATACACATATTGATCTGAGCAATTGAGGGACTAAACCAGTGTGGCAGCACTGAATCATGGATGAAACAATACAGGTGAAACTCGAATAATTAGAATATCGTGCAAAAGTAATGGCAGTAATTGCTGCAAAAGGGGCCCAAACCAAGTACTGAGTACATATGCATGCTTGTACTTTTCAGAGGTCCGATATTGTTCTATGTACAATCCTTGTTTTATTGATTGCATGTAATAATCTACTTTTTTGAGGTTGTGGATTTGGGGTTCTTGGGGTTTTCATGAGCTGTAAGCCATAATCATCACAATTATGACAGATCACGGCTTGAACTATCTTGCTTTGCATGTAATGAGTCTATCTCATATATTAGTTTCACCTTTTAAGTTGCATTAGTGAAATAAATGAACTTTGCACGATATTCTAATTATTCGAGTTTCACCTGTAGATGGGATTGGAAAGTTCTTATCTTTTTAGCAAAGATCACTCAAAAGATTGCTTATTGCAGCTTCATTTTGGTTCAAAAGCAACCAATTGATCAAAGCACAAAACTATTGTTTTCATGGCAGACATGACAGCAGACAACTTTTGGTTGACTTTTGTGAGAACTGAGTACACCTGAGAGGAAAGTGTTGTTATGTGCCAACGGGTGACACATGGCTTTCTGCATCAGAATTTGTTATAATTATTTTACACAAGAGGCCAAACGTTCAATGTATTTTGGTGGGAGATTCAGTGGGGTGATTTCAATGTTGACTGTCTGTTACAGAAATACAACCACAGCCAGTGGGGATCTCAAGACTATTCTTAAGAGTTTGACATTATATTTGTGTTGCTGTTTTAATGTAAAGTGAATATAAAGTTTCACTATATTTTTTTTTTTTTAAAGAAGTTTTAGAGTTGTACAATATAATGGTGATTTCAAAATTGAACCTTGTCTCCACTGAGGAATGAGATTATAAGACGTCTGTCAACCATCTTCCACTTACTAAAGGTTGGGTGGAAATTGGGGAGAAAAAGCAATCAGAACTGAAGGAGCAGAATGCCCCATCATTGATCCACACCCTAAGCTGTTTTCAACCAAAAACAGAGCCATGGAAGCATCCCAAACTTTGTAGTTTTGTGGCTCTCAAGTCAGGTGACACAGCACATACTTTGGAAGCCCCGTAAACAAAGTCCTAAATGGGAGTCTTCTGCCATGAACCACTCCCAACCATTTGAATGAGTTTTCCACATTTTAGTTTAAAGTAAAAAAACAACATTAATTATGACTGATCCTTTGGTGGTTGTTGGTGTTCTCATCCCCCTACACTAATCCCATGCTATTATGCCAAATTCAAGAGGAACACAAGAGTCACTATGCCATCTTCAATGCATCTGTTAGAATGTCTATAGATATCAGGGGAGGAGTATTGACTCTCATATTTCAGATAATTCTGAACAGGGACGATGTGCAGCCAGTGGTCCAGCATGAAACCGCCACAGGAACAGTTGAGATAAGTAAAAGCAGTGTTTTTTATATTTTAAATCTTTAATACCATTACATTATCAGTCGTAGGTGGGGTTCTTTAAAATCTAGATAGAAAAAATCTAATTTTGTAATGCATTCTAATCAGCTTTGTGATAACAGACAGGCCCATGCAAACATCTACATTTGAACAGTTAAGCTCATCACTATAAATATCACTGTAACCAATCGCTCTTCTGAAACTAGTGAAGTTAATTGTATCTCCATTCCAGGAAGAATGCAATGAATCTCGTCTGAGAGTAAAAATAAACAAGCAAAGCATTACTGGATTCTGCTGGAGAGCAGCGATTAAAGCTTGAAGGCTTCACAGAGAAAGGAAAGCACGCTTCTCTTATGTAACGCTCTAAATTACCTTGTTATTTAAAGCACTTTCTTCCCCTCCTGTAAGGAACCACTGCTGGCTGCTGTACTCAATAAACTGCACAAACCTACAGCTTTCTTCTGAAGTCGCATTCTCTGGAAAAACCGCCAAAAGCCTTTCAGGGAGTTGGATTGTATCCCCGCTCTTCCCATCAAACCTATGTCTGTTGATTTGTTGTGGATACCAGTGATAAGCATATATAGAAATGTAGGGACAAGTGTCAAATACCGTCTTCCCTCTGTTGAAACAAAATCATAACAGAAAATTATAATACCTGGTTACACGAATATCCTGTAGAAGAGGCACACTGAACCAAACTGAAAATAGATGAGAAAAATACAAAGATTGCAAAGATTTACTGTAGCGGGGAAGCCATGTGCAGACAATGAATGCCAGGGGAGCCATTTTAGCAGGTAGGTTAGTTAGAAAAAAAAGATCTGCTTAATGGACCAGATTTGTTGGAATAGCAACAGGGTGATGTTTGTAAAGAAATAAATGTAAAAGGCATTTATAACATAATGACCACCCGTCTGATATTGAGTAGGTCCCCCCTTTTTCCACCAAAACAGCCCTGACCCATTGAGGCATGGACCCCACTAGACCTCTGAAGGTATGCTGTGGTATCTGGCACCAAGCCATCAGTAGCAGATCCTTTAAGCCCTGTAAGTTGCGAGGTGGTGCCTCTATGGATCGGGCTTGTTTTTCCAGCACATTCCACAGATGCTCGATTAAATTAAGAGCTGAAGAATTAAGAGGCCAAGTCAATAGCTCAAGCTTGTTGTTGTGTTTCTCAAACCATTCTTGAATCATGTTTTCAGTATGGCAGGGCACATTTTCCTACTGAAAGAGCCGACTGCCATCAGGGAATACTGTTACATAAATGCTAGGACCCAAGGTTTCCCAGCAGAACATTGCCCAAAGCATCACACTGCCTCCCCCGGCTTGCCTTCCTCCCAAAGCGCATCCTGGTGCCATCTCTTCTCCAGGTAAGTGACGCACACACGCCTGGCCATCCACATGATGTAAAAGAAAACACAATTCATCAGACCAGGCCACCTTCCATTGCTTTGTGGTCCAGTTTTGATGCTCACTTGCTCATCGTAGGCAGTTATTGGCAATCTGTTATACGCAGTAGCAAAAAAGTTTATGAATCCCCTGGAGTGATCTGTATTTCTGCATTAATGGTTCACTAAATGTAGTCTGATCTTTAGCAAAGGTACATTCATCAAAAATGTGTTCTGTGGCTGCTGATCAGAACTGCATAACAGTCAGGAGGAATGTTTCTTTTCATTTCATTGATGTTAATGGCAGAGGCGGCTCTAGACTTTGTGAGGCCTTAGGCGAAACTCAAAAGTGAGGCCCCCACTAAAAGTTCTATTTTATAAAGAGAGGTGCATTTTTCTTTAAAATAGAAAAATGCATGATGAAAAAAAAAAAAAAGAAGAAGGGGGGTGTCGGTGCGGTACGGAGGCTGCGGGGGGAATTGCCGGAGCCCCATTCTCCCCGTGAGGAGCCGTAGTGGAGGCGAGTTAGGTGGCCGCGAGGCCCTCGTGAGCGCGAGGCCTAAGGTGACCGCCTAACTTGCCTAATTAGAGAGCCGCCTCTGGTTAATGGCATTCCCAGCAGAATAGGTAAAAATTATACAAGACTGCTAGAAATTGCTGCCACTACATCCCCTTTATAAATCCGTGCTCCCTACAGCCCTCTGAAAATTACAGGTGCCACATTTGAAATTCCATTATAAAGGATTAGAAAAAAAGAGAAAAGAAATTGGAGAGCACAGAGAAAAAGAATGTTAAAAAATAAATAAACCAAACCATTTGACTAACAAAAATCAGCACCAAGGCAGGAAAAACACTGACCACTGGCTGCTGGGGCTGAGGGACCCTCAACACAAGGTCCACATATAGCTCTCAGGTAAGCTAAATCCAAGTAATTTGGTCATGTGATTTGCTGCCATGGCATATTGTAGTAACAATAAATATGTTATACCTTTTTTTACCATTTATAAGCATTGTAGGAAGGTTTTACTTGACTATTGTTGTGCTTGCACAGTGTCCACCTTTAAGACTGCTAGATAATATTACATCTGTATTTACCAATTTTTAAAATAGTTTTATTAACACTTTTTTTACATACCGTATGTGCAGGACTTTTCAACTCCTGGATATTTTTATTTTTTTAATTGGACATTTAATCAACAAATATTAATATAATATCTGTTACATATAGTAACTTTTGATCTGGTATGTTTTTATATTTAGCTCATATCAGCAATACATACAGCTTTCTGTTTCTTTTCCTACATTTCTTACATGTTTGATGCAACAAAACATTTTACTATGTACATGTGTCAGGGACTAGAGCACCTCCAGGTGGCGCTGGAACCTGGTCCTGCAATTCCGGTGCTCACCTGCAGGTGTCTCCAGGGGCTGTCAGGTACCAGACCACCACAGGGTGGTTCTGGAACCTGCAATTCCGGTGCTCACCTACGGGCACCTCCAAGCCGTCGGCAATTAGTCCCCACCTTGTGCTGGCCTGGGAGGGTATTTAGCCCCTTCTCACAGTGAGGCTGGTGCCTCAGTATTGTTGCCCTGACCTGTATCCTGTTGCTGGAATCCTCTATCCTGTTGCCATACCTGAATCCTGTTGCCTGTACCCTGTTACCTCCTTGGACCCTGACTCCTGACTCCTTCCCCTGAGGTCTCCTGATCTGTAGCTCCCCAGGTTCACTTGGCCTTTTTGTATTTAGTTTGGCTATTTTATGTTACTAGTTTGTGTTTGTGGGGTTGCTTATGTTTATATGATTTTGGTATGTCTATTAAACTATAAGTTCATAAGCATTATCTGGTGTGGTCACGTATTTGGTCCTCCCGTATAGATACCTGCATGCGGTGTGGGGACACCCGTGCACGATATCCTACTAGTAATACTAAGGTTATGGAAATAAGAGAGCAACACCCTGACTTTACAAACATTATCATTGTGTAACAGTACAGGGAAGATACTGCAGGCATATGTTTACATCTGTTGAAAGGTTATATCAGCATGCTGTGAGTGTTAAGAATTTATTTTCCACTGTGTACTGAAAACCTTTCAGAAATGCAGTCAAGAAATGATAAGCCTCAGAAAGCTGACTCAACCAAACTCCAGCTTTCCCGACTGTAAGAAAATCTTCAATGCTAGATATCTGATAGTCTGATATGTAGCAGAGAGGTGGTCAACAAAATAATTACAGGAGACAGGAAATG